TCTTTGCCAGAGTCTTTGGGTGAGTTGTCCTCGCTGATGCACCTTGGCTTTTCTAGAGCTTCATGCTTTGGTGAGACCTGTACAATTAGTGGGGGATGAATGCTGTCACAATGCACTAAGAGTTGCGAGTAGACATTTGGTGTGTTGCAAGTGTGTTGCACATTGCTACCACTACCACTACCACTACCACTATGACTACTCCCACTACTGCGGCTGCTGCTACTACTACTGCTACTAGTGCTGCTGCTACTACTACTACCACCACCACCACCCACCACCACAAAAAGCACAACCACTACAACCACTACAACCGCCTTTTTTGGTCCTTCCTTTTTTGGACATTCATTTGTTGTTTTTGCAACATTTTAGATTCCCTTCTTTTTCGTTTTGTTTTTCTTTTGGTTTTGTTTTTGATGCCTGTTTGTTTTTTGATCCCCACCCTTCAGTTGCCTGTTTGTGTCACTGTATTGCACTCCCCTTTGCATGTTGAGCTTAGGCGGCTTTATGTGCATAACAACCGTCTAGCCTTATTGCCGGAGTCTTTTGGCAGCCTATCAAGATTGGAGCATCTTGCCTGCCTTGTCTCGTTTCAGAAGGAGCTCTGCGTTCTCTTGAGTGGATCATGTTGTGTCCCAGAGATGGCAGTTCTACGTTTGCTTTGCATAAGTGCACTCTATGTTTTCCTAGGTGTCTCTTGTCATGGCAGAATTGAGGTCGTTGCATTTGCAGGCGAACAGATTGACCGGATTGCCGGCATCCTTGGGCAACCTGTCAAGATTGAAGCAGCTTGTCTGCTTAGGTCATTGGGACTACCCTGTTAGACTTGAATTGGCTGTTTTCAGGGAAGGCGGCCTTTCATGGGCGCCAAAGGTAGCTGTTTTCAGGAAAACAATAAGCAAATTATCCTTGAAGAACTTAAACCCTTCATAGCCACCTTCTGCTTGCTATTATCTAACATTGCCAGCATGTTTAATATTAGTTTCTTGTTAACTACCTCCTGAACCCAACGAATGAAAGGGCCCTGCGGCAAGGGGTGTTGGTGTCCATTGAGGCTACTTCAATTGCAGAACAACCGTCTTGCCTCATTGCCGGAGTCTTTAGGCCGCTTATCAAGCTTGGTGCACCTTGGCAGCTCTCCATAGCAATGGCCAGCCCAACTTACTAGCGTCCTTGCTCCCAGTATTCCTAGTAGTAAGGCCAGGAGCCCCTAGTAGCGTCCTTGCTCCTACTAGCGATGGCCTCCAACCTAATACCTCAGGAGTGTGCAATAAGAAGAAAACGACTCTGTACTTTCGGTGGATGAATTACAAAAGGCTTCGGTGGATGAATTTGAACCCTTTCTTCTCTCTTTGTGTTTGTGTCGTAGTAACACTGGTCGAGGGAGCTCTACTTGGAAGACAATGAATTGAGCTCATTGCCGGAGTCTTTGGGCAACCTTGGGACACTGAGGCACCTCAGCTTGAATGTTGGAGGGTGTTTGCAATTCTTGGTTGAAACCACTTTTTGTGATGGGCAATGCAAGATACCCCCACCGCTGCTGCAAAGGAAAGCGTGGAAAAGAGGTCAAGACCTTTGTTCTAATTGCTTTAGAGAGACATGTCTTTCTTCTTGCTTTCCTGCCTGTACTTCTTTTGCTCTAGAACTTTTGACTTTATTCCTATTCCTTATGCCATTAGGTTGAATTACTTAAGTTCCCCTAAAAGTCTAGGAACCAAATCATTACACTGGCCAGAAGAAAGTTGCGCTTGTTGATGTTGAAACTCATGACAACCCTATCCCCCTAGAATCCTACACCATGAGACAAGGGAAGGTGTGGGCGGTCATTTGTCACCCCGGAAAGCCTTTATTATTATAAATTTAAAACGGTGTGATAATTGACCGTCCCACACCTGCCACGAAAATTAGACTTGTTAATTCGATCCGCCGCTGACCTCAGAGTGTTTTGTAAGAAGGCTAACAAGCGTGAACTTTTGTCTGCCTGAAGTAGTGCGAGCTATCCTGCGTCCTAGGTAGTAGAGTTCTTGTAGCTACTAGGTGCCTAGCTACTACCTAAAAAAACGGAATAACGTGTTTCTTTACCTGTGTCACCTTCACCAGATCTTCGGCTTGTGGCCACCACCCGGCAGCCTAGACTGTAACTAGTGTTGTCGATGGTGCATTCCTTGCTACTAGGAACAAGACGCTACTAGGGGCTCCTGGCATCGCTACTAGGAGCAAGGAAGTTACTAGGGGCTCCTGGCCTTACTACTAGGAACAAGAAGCTAGCAGGTGGAGGCCATCGCTATTGGGTTGGAGGCGATTACTACTAGGAACAAGAAGCTACTAGTAACATGAATTCCTCTGTGCTACTACTCCTTTGTGATTATGGCGCTCCACAAACTCTGGGTTCGACCAACACATGATGATGAAACGCCAGGACGCTCAAGCTGTACAACAATAAGTTGAAACTATTGCCGCCATCTTTGGGCAGCTTGTCAAGATTGAGGCCCCTTGGCTGCGGCCATTGCAAAGGTTGGCATTGCAGCACCCACTCTCACCACAAACTGAACATAGTAGATGCAAGCTTGTTGCAAGGCAAGTTATTCACTCAGCAAGCAACGGTGAAGAACAGGAGAAAGAAGCGAAGGAGAAGAAAAGGTTCCAATAGGTTCTAAAGGTGAAAAGAATGAAGAAGAGAACAAAGAAAAGCATAAGAAGAGGACAAGACAAAGCTTGTTGTACAGAATGCCCCCAACATGAGCGGAACAATAATGAAACAAACGACACAACAAAAGCCTTAAGAGAAAGGACAAGGAAGGACAAATCTAAAGACATGTGGTCTTGTATCGCCCATGATTAGCACTGACTGAGGGAGCTCTATTTGGGAAACAATAAGTTGCGTTCTTTGCCGGAGTCTTTCGTCCAGTTGTCAGCTTTGATGCACCTTGGTTGCCTTTCTTCGGTTTCTACCGCTTGAGCAAGGCTTGAGACAGCATTTAACTCGAGGCTGTTTCTTCTTCAGCTTACGTGCTGAGGCGGCTGCATATACGAAGCAACCTTTTAAGCTCGTTGCCAGAGTCTTTGGGCAATCTGAGCATGTTGATTCTTGCCTGTGAGAGTACATGTAAGAAGCTCCTTTCAAGAAGGATCATCGTTGCTTTTTGCATGTGCAAGGAGGGAGATCTATTTGGAAAACAATGAATTGAGTTCTTTGCCAGAGTCTTTGGGTGAGTTGTCCTCGCTGATGCACCTTGGCTTTCCTGGAGCCATGCTTTGGCTGGGCCGGGCTGTTCAGACAAGTCCACCTGCCTTAGACCTGCACAAACAATGGGGTTCGTGTGTTGTACGGTACTTGCACCAAGGGTTCCTTGCACGTTTCTTGTTGACATTCATTGGCCATGTTGATGTTCCACAGATAGCACGGGCGGCATCCAGGGAGCTTCATTTGCAGAACAACCGCTTGATCTCATTGCCAGAGTCCCTGTGCAATCTGACGAGATTGAAGCACCTCGCTGGCATTGGCTGATTCAAGGGTCTTCGGCAAAGCTTGTTTCGGGAAAGGACTGGCCCTAAGACTACTGCGGCTAGATCAAACATGTCATTCCTGCAGGCAAATGCTATTGCCATTGCACTGACCAGAAATTATCTGCTTCCAAACGATTGAAAGGAAAGTTGAGACGACAACACTCAGGACGCTCTATTTACAGAACAACACCTTGATTTCATTGCCAGAGTCTTTGGGACAGCTTGCAAGTTTGGAGCACCTTGGCCGCCTTGGCTTGGTCAACATGTGTTTCCATTGTGCATGGCGCGGCTGGACCCGTTTTGTCCTGAGACTTCACTTGATTTTTGTTGCAAAGGGGTTCAGGACAGAAGAATCCAGGTGGGAACGACTTGTCCTGTTGCCGTTGGCTAGACGATGCTAGACATTTGATGGTATGAGCACGATGCGCATTCTTGAAAAGTGAATCAAGGTTGCTCTATTTGAACGATAACTTTCTGAGCTCATTGCCAAAGTCTGCGGGCAAGCTATCAAGGTTGGTGTACCTTGGCCAAGAGATTTCGATCCAAGACCAGTACTAAGGGAACTATAATATACTTTGTGAGATCTGAGGGAGCTTCTCTCAGAAAACAACAAGTTGATGCAGTTGCCGGCATCTTTGGGGAGCTTGTCAAGATTGAAGCACCTTGGCTATTTTGGCATTCGATCCTTTCACTAGCCCTCGCACCAAAGCTTCTGTGCGACCCACCTCACCTGCACACACCTGCACACCCCTGCCTTTCCACAATGTACAATATGGCAGCCACCATCATTGCTCCTTAAAGAAAACAATGAAACAGATACAAAAGCAGTTGCCTTCAACCGAAAAACAATTTTTGAGCTATATGGATGTGGCTTTCAGCCAGACTCTTGCCAGAGTGCGTTCAAGGATCCTGTCTTTGGAGAACAACGAGCTGAGCTCCTTGCCGGAGTCTTTGGGTAACCTCTCTGGCTTGGTGTTCTTCGGCCGCTCTAGCTTTTCATCCCATGGGTTGGGACGTCTTCGTTTCTGCAACACGTTCTCTTGGTGAATTTCGAGTGCGTGCAGAATTAAGGTTCCTTTCTTTAGGCAAGAGGCTGAGCTCGCTGCCAGAGTCTTTTGGCAAATTGTCAAGTTTGGTGTACCTCGGTTACAGCTTGGTGAGTCTTCACATGTTTGCTTATTTTTCCCCAAATAGTGCTCCGCACTAAGGGGTTCTTACGGTAAGAGTTAAGGGCCGGGTTTAGATCAGGGTTCGCGCGTGTGGTTGCGGCATTTTGCGTGGGCCGGCTCGCACAAAAGTTACTTTTTGAATTCCTCATGTCCATTTCGACTGCGCAGGCTCGCATAAAGTGGGTGTCGCGGTTTTCGCGCTTCCGGGACAAAGCTCTCGTGCAGGTGCCGTGCTCGTTTTCGGACATGAAGTGCAT